GTATGTGCAGGTGTATGCCGACAATGGCAGCGCCAGTTGCAGGATACGTGTTTTGTTGTCCCAGTGCTTTTCATCGTTGACGTGACGTCAGTTCATTCTTCTGACAGGGGAATCCCCCTTCTTAACTCTACGGTGATACATGAAGATCTCACTCCAGTTAAAAGCATGGACACCGATGTCCAGGGTAAGGGTGTCATATTTCTTTGTCTCATCCAAAGGTTGAGAGAAAAAAAAACCCTCCAAGTGGAGTTCTTCTGTATTTTAACGAATGGAAAGTAAGTAAGAAAAAAACATACAGAGAAAAATACAGCTATATTTATTCCAGTATATCAAACAAAGATAAAAGACACAGATCATTGCAAGGTACTTAATTAAAACTTTGAACAATTAACGTCATCTAGATAAGTAAGTTTTCATTACAGATGAGATTCAAGGTCGTTCTACAGTGAAAACGTAAAATAAAGTAGAGTTTCCAAATGAACATCTAAATTGCATTTCACTCATCTGCTGAAATAAATGCATCAAAATAACAATTTTCATTCCTATTTTTTTTGCTATATCAAATGTAGTTAAAAACCAGTTTGAAAAAAAATCAACCTTCTTAGTCTTTTTGTGATTTTTATCTAGACAATATGTACGATAAAAGAATCTAAAATGTCTTTGATTATATCACATATATATCAAACAATCTTTGCTTGACTCTCACAAAGCGATCCGTTAAATAAACTCTTAATCACATGTAAATAAATATAAATCGTGAAGCACTGAAAAAGTAAATACTTAAATATTAACACATAGACACTGTAATACTAGTAATTACTAAACAGATATTGTCATATCTTTAGAACAAAGGCCTTCCTCCAAGAACTCCAAAAACAACTCGCCGAAAAATCTTCTTCTCCAGAGGGGATTCATACGAGTGAATGTAAACTGTTCTCTTAATGTATCGTCTGCAGGGTCGTTTATTCCTAATTTATATCTATAGCAAAAACAGTCTGTTCCTGGACATCTGCCGCACTCAATGCGACACTAACTCTTGTAAAAAATCCTTTGGTGAACTTTTTACACTACCATAGACGGATGGTAAAATAAAACAATATCATATAACTCGATCGAAATATCGAGAATACGCCAAACCAGATTTCCCAGTCAAAGATTTTCCAAGTAATGAGATTCCGTTGCATTTGTAACACTCGCATTGAAAATAAATCTTAACTCATTTTCACATTTTCTCACACACACGGAGAACAGGGATCTTGAAAGATTACACACATTACCAAGTGTCTCGTTCTAGGAAATACAGAAATGGTGTAAAAATATATAGAGTAAAGCCTTTCTTGATATTTACAATGCAATCCATCCAGTGACCACCCACCACCAAGTGGGTGCTGTCTTGGAGACCATTCAGATGTTTCTCTGAAAAAAAAAGAAAAATGGAATATTAAGGTTAATAATGTTAATGATGAATTCATTTTATTTTGAGAACCAATATCGCTGAAATGTCATTGTAATTTAAACGAGAAATTAATTTGAATTCTTTTAACATGACGAGAAATACAATATTTTTATATGGTATAATTTTTATATTCACACGATAAAATGGTGACCCTACTATCGTTTACAAAAAAAAGTTATTTTGTTATATTGTCATAAAGTACACATCAATTGATGACATCATCAATATCCCCAGAACAAGGTGACATTGTCATTAAATACACATCATTGGATTACAACATCCTTACATACACTAGAATCGACGTCGTGATCGCTTCCACATGATTTGACGACATCACATTTCTTTTACACATGATTTGACGACATCACATTTCTTTTACACATGATTTGATGACATCACATTTCTTTTACTCATAATTTGATGCATCACATTTCCTTACACAGTACATTGACATCATTATATTAGATTATATATTCATCATTGTATTAACAAAATACAAAGTATTTGCAATAGTTTTTTTAACAGAAACAATTTTAATTCTTTACACTGGTATACATAATATATAATTTACAAACACCTTTTTGAATCGAACCACAATTATTCCACCAGCTTAAACCCTTTTAAAGATTTGGCAATAACATGATTTGGGTCTATTTATAGAATCCACGCAGACTCGATTCAATAAGATAATAAGCTATAATTGGATTTCAGATTTCCTATATTTATCTCCTTCTTTTCTCAATATCAGAGTAGGTAATTGAGACGTATATATACTATTCATTGATAAAATGTTGTCAATTGTAAGCTGAATGATAGGCAGTCTCTCACATATACTAAAAGTAGGCGGCATCATCCAAACCAGGATATGTTTTGTCTGCAAAATTCAATTTACTTTAAATCAACAGTCATCATTACCACCATACAACCATGTTGGAAAGCTGAATGCATTATTAATAATGGTAAACATTACAGAATATTGTAATTGTAGAGTTTAGTAATCTCCCAATACCTTACATAAAATCAATAAAAAACACAGGTAGGTGATATAATTATTCTAGCGATCAAAGACTTCTTGATAGAGCACTGTCGCGATCCGTCATGACACTAAACATTGCCTCATTTCTACTTACAATATAAAGAACACAATTTCTCGCATTGTTCTTTTCTAAACACACATGACAAATATGTGTTCTGTGCACGTTTTGATGCATACTGTTTTGTAACAAACAAAATAATCAATTTATTTCATAATTGTATTCCGTAATGTCCTGTTTCATCCGCAACAAAATCTTCACACGTTCCATATGTTTCTAACGAGTGTTTGTTTTATGGTATCAAATGTTGAAAATCAAAGTGATTAAAAAAAAAAAAAACCAAACCCCACAAATATGATATATGATCAGCCTTGGACAGTTGGAACGCTCAGCGCAGTACGGTCTAAAAACTTCCAATAATTTGATTGGTCAGAATTATATTGATCTACAAAACATTCTTGTCAAGCATTCGTGAGAACATAAAATCACATTCAAATACACGTACAGGCATTTGTATCAATGGTTTGGAACACATGTAGTCAAAACGTTTTAAGGAAAAAAAATTTAAAAGCAGTTTGATTTTCTGTATACAATAAATTGCTTTGATTTCTGTTTAAAGTTCTTCGAAAGTTTCGACATTTAATTTGTTAAACATAGATCATAATATGCAAAGACTTTTTAAAGATACGCCATTCTCAAATACGATAAAAGCACATTGTATTTGATCAATGTTAAGACATTGAAATATTACTATTTTTATTTTCAGTAAATAATACATCGTCCACACAGTGTAAGTAAACACATGATGGTACATGTTGAGTGTAGATAAAATAGTTATGACATACATATATATATATAGTAAGTACTAGTATATATACATATATACAACATATAAGTGTCAATATTATCGATCTCATTATGTTCGATTGCAGTCACTGACTATATTCTATTATATTGTTTTTCTGCATGCAAAATGTATTCCTTTTAGTGGTTTCTGTGACCACCCACCTTTTACTAGTTCAGTACAGACCTTACCATGCCGACCTGTCATTACAAATTTATAACACACTAAATCAAATAAAGTTGATGTTGTTATAACTAAGCACTTCACACAACGGTTTCACCGACCGAGGTTGAATTCCAATCCCAGCAGGATATATAAATTCCGCCTCGGCACTTAACTGTTTACCATTAAATGGACGTTTCCAATCCATCCACATATCAAATTAATGCTTCAGTGACTTTCAGGAAGAGTCGTATACCTTAAATAATGTGTCACTTGTTTTCTTCATCTTATGTTCAAGTCGTTGTTGTTACAAAAACTGGAAGAAGTCTCATACCTATTTGTTATGAAATCTTCGGGCAAACATTTACCTATAATTTCGGTAAGGCTAAACACATTTTACGCACTATTAGAGTGGTAAAAGAGTGTCAGCTTTACTCAAGTAGCTTCGAATCGAGTGACACAATATGTTCCCATCCATTAAGGGTTTTCAGAATTTCCTGACATTTTTCGTGCATTATATTGCTGCTATAATAACAGTTATGCATCAACTGTGATTATTGCTGAAAGATCGAAACAAAATTAGGAAATCTTAGACTATATCCAACCTAATTTACACATTAGCCCGCGAGACGAAAATGGCTCTCAATTGAATTATTTCAAAAGATACTTGGGGATCAAAGATGGGACAAACTATGGCTATTAGGTATGTGTCTAAGGTATATTTATAGCGGGATAGTCATCAAGGGAATATCGCTACTTTACAAGGAAGTTTAGGAATATAAATGTATTATTCATGACAAATCTGTCATGGGAACTCTCGAGTTACATTTATGTCTCAATCAATATATAAGCTGTTCCTGATGTCCTCATTGCTCTCATTGTGAGATAACACGTTGATAATGTATTTTGTTATAATATCAAATTTCCGAATCATTAGCGAAAAGTACGTTTAAACATATAAACTGTAAAATGAAAGTTGTTATTTACAAGTTCTTCATACATGTTACAAAATCTCGTAAATAGACTTTTATTCGTGAAAAAACATCTATCCATCCTACTTTGACCTTTTAGTAAATCCCCGGAAAATTGAACCATTGCAAGGAAAATGTAAATTTTTAAAAATATGCTACAAATCTGATAAAAAAGGATGTTATTGTGGATTTTTTTTCTGTTAACCTCATGTAGAATCTATTGCTATTCCATCAGTTGTCGGGCTGTATCGTCACTGCGTATAAGGTCCAATGAACGATGATTTTTTTATGGAGCGCGAATAAAGAAAAAAAATGTCTCCAAAATGTAAATATAAGGAATTAAGAATATCTGTAAAAAATGCAGTTTGCACACCAATAAAAAAAATTAAATAAAAAGTAATGACGTTTGGCCCTCAAGCTCTGGCTACAACTCTACCACGGGCAGTTACACAGACTGTGAGGTACACGCTTGGTAAACACATGTTTGTACATTATATATATTTCTTCTTCTTACGTACCAATGTTGATGTATATTACAGGTTTCGTCGTACTTTTCTCGGTCGCTTTCTTGCGCAAGCTTGCCTTGATGTTGATAGTGGACTGCACTTTTTGTTGACTTTGATATTCTCGGTACCTTCTTCCGTCTCATCTGGTAAGAATTCATTCACACTGCCAAGCAAGTCAAGACTTTCGGACGTAATAGGTTCACGTGGTAAAGCCTCTTCTGCATCCATGAATCGCTCACCAGTTGGGGAAGAAATGGTCTCCTCGTTTCGGTAGGCATACAGTCTTGGCATGATAACTTTTACTAGTTTGCAGTTATCGCAGTTTGCCAACCGAACATTTGGATCGGGGACAGAGTCATCCATTGGGATTTCTGATATATCCAAATCTCCCTCATCGACAGGAAAGGTTTGACGTGCAGATCTGGCTGACCTCATCAAGTCATAATTTGCCTGAATCTACAGTTAAAGAGGCCATCAAAATAAAGGCAACTGTTGGAATTCTAGAGTGACGCAGATTCCAAGCCATACGGAGAGAGAGGCCATCCAAATTTTAAGTTGACATGCATTCGGCATTCTAGAGCAATGTATATTCCAGTATTCAAACAAGATGAAAATATCCAAAAAATGGACCTTAAGACATGCTTGCTGGAGTTTAGAGAACAAACTTTTTTCGAATGTTCAAGCTATAAAAACAACAATAGTTGACAAAGTCATCTTATGTGAATTGAAATCATGCCTTGTCGAGGGCGATAGAAATGCTATTTCCATTCCAATAGCTTCAAAGAATTACAAGGCGTTGTCACACGCTATCAATGTTTTTCTTCCCATGCATATGATTAAACAAAGACACATCTGTTCAGCAGAGGACAATAGGAAACTGAGACGAAGTGGAAGAACGGAACTAAAGTATCATTTTGTAGAGTTACAGAATTGTTGTCCCTGAATGTTAAGAATATGAGAAAGAAATGGTCCAGGGAGTGAAAAGAGAGAACAAATCATAAAGCCCGGTACAAAAAATAAGAAAACCAGAAATCTGTTTACTGGAGATACATCATTCAATTCATTTCCATGAAACACAAATTACCTTATATGACATCGAACCTAATCTCCAACGTCTTGAATGTGGAGCTAACAAGTTAGACATATCAATAGGATTTGTGTCATCAACAAAGATTGCCGCCACATTTTCAGCCATGTAGTTACTTGTCACAGGTTAAACTTTCTGAACGTTTGTCAGTGGCATGAATAAGTAACATTTTGTATGTGAATATAACAATGAATTTCCGCTGAAATTTATGTTTGTGTTAATTTACTTTTTAGTGTTTGTCCGCGAAAAGCCTAGGTAGCTTTCTCCTTTTATATCTCTTGTAAGTATGCCAGTAATTCAGCTATTTTGCTTGTGAAAATGTAATAAATAGAATATTTAATAGTGTCTCCAATAATAACAAATATATTTCACTCGTGTGTCAAATTGTTTCTGTATCTTGTATACCAAAATAGTAGACACACTTCTCTATATCCCTAATATAGCATATCCAGTTTTCACATTAGCATCAAAACTCATCGGATGGGATTTATTATCGCGTCATTATGCGAGGAAAGTCAACCATGAATTCAAATTCTTCGCGATTGTTTGTACGAAAATATCTGGATGTCATCCACGTTGATTTGGTTACCTATATCGGAATCCTGAAGAGTCCAGGTCTCTAATGTGACTTCATTCGTAGATGTAAAGAAATTGCTTGATTAGCGTTAGGTTGCGAAATCGTGTACTCGCAAATATGTCTGAAGAGAGAAGTTCGCGAAATAAATGTACACAAAATCTAAGTGATTTACAGTATTTTATCATATTGTAGAAAGTTAGTCTCATAGCTGTAGCAAACTAAACATTGCAGCAATTTACAGCATTACGCACGATGGTAACATAGTGCAATTTTGTAGCAACCACTGAAGGAAACGTTGTAAAATATAAATGAAGTTGTCATAACTACAGCATTTTGATATATACAACCATGGTAACCTAGATTGAATTGCTGTTGTATCTTACAGGGAGTTACAAGACCAATATATACATATAAAATATGAAAAGGCATTGATCATAGAATGAACAGGCATTAATCATGTATTAGAAAGAAACTTTACATCATTAGTCTCAAAAAGCACACGAACAGTCGTATGTTTGAGGGGCTGGGCAGAATCTTTCTTTATGCTGAGAAATAAATGTACAATGCTTTGTTGATCATAGTAACATATCTTCTTCTTTGTTTCATTATCAACGGCTTGGTAAATTCGAAAGGAATTGTACGGAAATGGCAGGGATATAGTCTGTAAGAATATTTTAGTTTTCTGTCTAACACATGGGAAGGAAACCACGAAATTAGGGTAAAACCAATAATGTAGTAACCATGACAGCGTGTGTATGTATGAATGTACACACTTTTAGTGGTTTTGTCGACACTTTCAAGTCTTTTTGTTTATAGAGACATTACGAGTCATGAAACATTAGTTAGTTGGTGGATATATACGTAACCTTTAACAAATCTACACCTATCTATGGAAACAATGAATGCCATGTCATTACATACTAGACCCTACCATAGCAGTAAGCGTGATAAAATGTGCCCAGTGATTGAAAGCTGCACAATTCATATTGACATGGTTGGCGGAGTAACATAGTTTAGGTGATACAGAAGATTTGAATTTATCGTTCTGTCGTTATTACAAATGGTACATAGGAATATTCATTTCTGGTGACGTATGCTTTGCACACGTTAAACCGGTATCATTTGATCGAACCAATGACTGGCAATACGGTTCCGATGTACCTTGTACAGGGATGACAGCGTTACAATAAACGTATGTATCTTGTCTAAGGCTAAAACTTTATGAAGATTGAACAAGGCATTTATGTTGCTAATTGTATAAGGCTCCTTTCAATACAAATTTAGAATTAAGTACATTTGAGCATAATAATGAATTCACCTGAATTGTAACATTCTTCTATTTCTGTTGAAACCTTGATGGCACCGACGGAAACCCCAAAGTAATCGAAAGAAATGTCAGAACCGAAATTGACAGGTGTACGAAGCTAATAATACATTTCGTAAATGTTACATGTCTGATTATTTGCGAACGTCATGTACCTGTCTACATTTCAACCATGCCGTTATTCGAATCTCAAATCTTGCAAATAACAGAAAAATTCGAGACTAAAACACCAGCAGTGTCTTCCGCCTGCAATATCGATGATTGTACAAAAGATGCACATCTTTCAATAAATGATTTATTTCTAAACAAAAAGAGTGAATAATATAGTCCCCAACGAAACAACAACTTTTAAAATGTACATTAACAGCACATGTGAAAGGCGCCCGTCAATACGAGTTTAGTAACCAATTATAGTATGTTCAAATTGATTTGTACAACGGTTTTGACCTTCTAGGACTCTTCAGGGATGACAATATGCGTACAAAATATAGAAAGAGAGTTTATAGAAACACCAATTTTGTCATAGCAAGACTGAAGAAGGGGTCTATTGACAGCCTAATTTATCAGTTTGTTAACGTTAGGAATATTTGTATTTGAAAAGAACGTCGATATTATCAACACAAAAGTAATAATGAGGCATGTTGTCATCCAACTCAATTGAAAAGACTATGGGGCATAAATAAAGTAAATAAGATTAAACGTATCATTATTGTGTGATGTATGTGCCGAATACATAGTTTATTTTTATTGCACTGGAGGAATTAATTTCTAGTTAGTCCTCAAGCATTTCGTTGTTGTTGTAATATGGACCACGAACAGTCAGACGAAGAATATAAATGATGCATGACTGCGTCGCCTATTTTATTACATCGGTGTTGATCTTTATCGAAATAAATTGTTCTCTAGTACACGGACGATTGATCATGCCTATCTCGTTATAATGATACATACGTGCTACATATGTGATATACAACAGCAGATGTAATCGACTGTCAAAACTTTCCGTCATAATGTTCCATTATGTAATAATCAGCGGTTCAGGAGATGCACACGTACGTAATTAAAAAAATTTCAGCTACGGGTATATGAGAAAAAAATGAAATTAATAATTAAGTATAGTATGGAGAGGGACGAAACAGCTGTATGATGCAGTACATTTAGCGTCTGGCATTATTGTATCTAATTTTGAATTGAAAGGTGTTATTGTATCTTTTGTGCAATCAATGGGTATTACAGGGTAACACATGAATATTCTATATCCAATTATAAATACTAAAGCACATGTTAATTATATTTTTATTGTCTGAAATAAAAGGCGGGGTTAGATAAGTAATGAACTGTTAGACCTAAACGAACAGTTGCCTGTACAAACGCATGTTGCTGTCTTTTGTAGACTATAAGGCGATAAAAATAAAAATAGATAATTAATTTACCGACAGTGTAGTGTGATCTGTCAGGTGGAACAGACATTTTGAATTGTGTTGTCACCGTTCCTATGCCGACAATAAAGACGTCATGGTGGTCACATGTGGCAATTATAACATTTTAAATCCGAATCCTTTCAGGTTGGTTTATAAATTGGCATTGTCGTGCGATTATAAACGTTTATAGTTAGAGTGTAACACAGAAATGCCAGTGTGTTGTATCATACAGAATTGCAAAATGCTGATTCCATATGTAAACACTGTATGTATCGACAAATGCTATCCAGTGAGAGCTTTGCGTATTTTTATGGGGCCCCAGGGGAAGCCAATGTTACGTTCCATAAGACTGATAATTTATAATGCATAACTTTGCCCTATTTTGTCTGCTATCACTTTCAAGTGCAGCAATGCATGTCGATGTTTAAACATGCAAATCTAACTAATAAACAGATGGATATAGCATTGCATCCCATGGGGGTTGGGTCCTGAATGCATGTTCTATTTCAATGAATTGGTCACTTTTAGAATATGCTAGCTATAATCAATACTCGATTGATACACAATTATATCTAATCAATTTCATTTAATATGTTGAAACGCCATCGTCATGCCTGTATTGTGTATAGCTTTGTTACTTTAATCCCACACATACATATAGTTAATCAAAAGCTTAATTCACACCTTGATATGCCGTTAAAATGCAAATGGTGTGGTGAATAAGTTCATTTTTTTGTAAATGATGTGAACGATATTCATATATTGTGTGTTATATAGAGAACACAGAAGATGAACAGCAAGTAAACAAAACGTTTTGAATAATTGAACATTATACTCTATCAGCCCATTCAATTCATACCATACTGTTCAGGAGTTATCCTTGATGAATGAACGCCCAAAGGAAATTATTAGCTAGCAATAGTAACAAAATATGCCATCGAATACTGAGTCACGTATCAGCGGAACAGGATGGGCATTATTTAAACAACTTCCTGAAAATATATATATTCGAAATAAGGTTACTTTCAGAATACAGTTTATGACAACAATATCAGGGTCTACGACTGTTTACAGTTTAATGCTCTAGTCATGTTTCCTTATGAATTTTGCATTTTTCATGCATTAAATGATACTTTTATTTCACACATTTCCCGAAAGAAGATATATTAAATCTGAAAGTTAATCAATCTTGATAAATGAATATGTTGGTTAAAAGTTACAATCTACATTGGAATACAAGAAGGTTTTATCATAAAAATCGTTAGCTCTTTCCCAATTCTGATCGCTAAGCGCAATCGGTGTCCCTATCGCTAATGACAACGATTATATTACATGAATAATGAAAGCATTTAGACAAAGAAGAGTCATACAATTTTTATGTAGTAAAAAGAAAACCAAACAGTTTTTAACATGTATTTCTCGAACAATAGTATGCAATTATAGGGTCAATGTAACAAGATATTTTGGTAGTAAAACGAAAAATCGCCAACGAAAGCATTAATACTTATATAAGTTCCATCTATATATAATTTATAAACAAGGAAATGCAGTGAAATAATTTTCCGATGATGAGACGCCTATCTGGGGACCCATCATATCTACTTCTGCTGAACGTTCGGATTTTATGTCATTCACAAGAGAATAAATTATCTGTGTGATATCCAAACGATTTACGATGTTTGGAATCCAGAACTCTCGAGTCTAATAGGCGTAAAAGGAACTGAGTTACTGTACTTTGGATGATTCTGAGGCACGTGCAATTTTCATGAAGTTAAAGGTAAAGTGAACAGTCCAGTTAGTACAAAAGAGAATATTGTATTCAATTGACGCGAAGTACACTACAATTTTAAAACCACTGATTTTACATACATCCCTTTCGCGATATATATTATGCAATACTTTTATTTTTCTAAATATAAATTTTCTAAATTTTCTAAATTTCAATTTTCATTTCAAACTTTCAATGTACAAGACATCCATTGCGTTCATACTGTCATGTATAGTATTAGCCATTGTCAATATCAAACAAGATTGAATAACATTTTCTTTTGTTTCCGTTCACCTGGTTGAAATCTATAAATAGTAATCTAGGGTAGATTTTATTGCCTTATATTGCTTCACTGTGAGTTGGCTCCAGATCTATGATAAATATTTAAGCTTACTCAGTAAAGTATCATGAGTTACTGCTGGCAGCAAATGGCTATGGTCATTTGGTGTATCAGGTGATATTTGACATAACGTAACATGTAAATATATCAGCACTGCAAACCGGACAACAGGACCATGATACAAAGCAATCAACGTATTATCAAAATCTTATACCTGTGGCGTAGACGCCTATTAAAGTTAAAGTGAACAAGCATTGTTTATCATTAAAATATCTCTCTTAATGATGATATCTAAAAGCGTTCGGTTTTATTCATCGTTTAATGTTAAGTAATTATCAAATGTCCTATAGGGCCTATCAGGAACATTGTGATGATATTTACACCAGACAGATCCCAATAGAGATATCATGAGTCAGTATGGTCCCAGTACACCAATTTCACGAAATAACATAAACGACTTTTAGAAAGTGCTTAAGATTTTATTCAAGTGTGGACAAGTAATCAACAAATCTGAAAAGAATGACATAGCTTCTAACGTACCTCAAAGATATTTTGATGAATTAAGGAAACATGGTAAACCTCTTGGTTAAAAGAAGCAGACGTAGTCATGTCAGAAAATTTATTATATTCATCTCATTGATACATGATTATTTTCTCGCCCATTTTGCTTCAAAATAGGATTTTAAAGGATTTTATGCAATTAACTATCAAACAAATCATCTACACTGTCAAACGTAAGTTTGGTATCCTGACCATGAATAGTTGGTTGTACCACACGTGATCTACACATATGCTTTTATGAGCTAATGAACACATTATCTTACACAAAAATATATAATGTTACGAAAAAAGGTGAGTAAAGCTAAGATTTGATCAATCAGGCTAGCAATAGCGTCAATCAACAGCATTAATCAAAACGGAATCTTTAATAGATACTGCATGCTTAGTTACTAAAACTGTCTGTTATGACATTGTGATATTCATTCAAAAATACAACCAACAGTTAAAAAAACAATGAAAGGTCATTCGAGTGGCAATGGAAGATAGCCATGAGGGAGTATCAATCCTGGAAGTAAGTTTACAACATGTAAGTATCGCATTCACACTGAATATAAAGTACTAGATTATAATTAGAAAAGTTGAGTACAAAGTCTTTTTAGTGAATAAAAATATCAATTACCATGACATTAGTAATCATCTGGACACAATATATCAAGCCTTGTCAGCTTGATGACAAAAAATTGTACATTATTATTTTCTTTCTTCGACGGGAAAACTGTTTTTATCTTCATGATATAATTATTATACATTCACCATCGCATATTAAAGTTTAAATTGTAATAATGTAGAATCCATTGACAGCGAAATATATTGGTGTTAATATATCATTTCAGAATGAAAAGCTTGATAAAGTTTTGTCTAGTGCATATTCAACAAACCTAATCAAGTGAAAATTTTTATGAAGGTTACAAAGCTTTGTAATAATTCAATATGCATACCAATTCATCGAACACTTTGGACCCCTCTAACACGTTTTAATTTATATCAGTCTCTAAAAAAATTAAAAATATGTTATATAAAAATATCAATAATAATCAGTAAGATATGAGCGAAATATGTATTTACTAATATCATAATGAATGGCGGGGTAATTTTATCGAAAATACGTCGTGTCGAAGTCAGGCGGAAAAATAAAGTGCCAGTAAAGGATTTGTTGATAAGTATGGTGTTAACTATGTCAGGTGTCGGTAAAGTCATGTGACGGTAAAGTAAGATGTTGTTCAAATCGTGTGTCGGTAAAGTCATGTGTCAGTAAATGAGGTGTCGGTAAAGTCAGGTGTCGGTAAATTAGGTTTCGGTAAAGTCATGTGATGATAAAGTCATGTGTCGATAGAGTCATGTGTCGATAAAGTCATGTATCGATAAAGTCTTGTGTCAGTTGAATCAGGTGTCGGTAAAGTTGAGCCTTGAAAAAGTCTAATGGCGATAAAAAAAATCAGGAATTGATCAGTTTGAGTGTAGTTCAAGTCCGTTTTTTATAGCCCTTAATACTTCCACTTAAAACATACATATTTACATAATCGTGGTGTTGCTTATCCTTTAAAATATGTGTAACATATAAGCAGCAATAACGAAATAAGAAGTAATTTGGTTTGTATCATTATCTGTATCAACAGGTAAAACAATGATATCAATTAAAGACATTAATCTGACGAAAAAAATCAAGTTTCCAAATTATGAAAGGTGACAAAATCAAATATACACGCTTTATTAGTTAATCCATAAAATTTCCTCCCGCATCACTACTGATCATCTATAACTTCAAATACGTGTTTCCTAAGGTCTCTTCCAAAATCGCTCTTTCGACAATGTGTCTAGATATCAACGCTGTATTTTACAGATTTGTCAGCTTTAATGAAAAAGGAACTAAAGCAATAGAAATGTCTTTTCTTTAACACGCTTGTCGCCATTTTCTGAAGTAAAGAAATCGTATATTTTCTTGGATCTCTAGTTATTATTGGATTTCACTTATAAGAAATTATATTAATAACTTTACATGGCTAATATAGTCTATAAATAAATGGACTCTTCGTCACCATTACTTACCGGTAGGTTGGTATCTGCCTGTCCAAGATCTAGTTTATCACTTCTCAGTCTTGTCATCAACGTATTGTACAGAGACGACCGTTTGCCATTGAAACATCCGTAAGAGCCACAGAAAACTCGCTTTTGTAGTACCTCTGTCTCGAGCTCATTTGCTTTGGGAACTGGTTGTCTCAGAGGAGCACCCATTGACCTTTTGCCGTTTCCACACCCAAAAAATCCGTTGCAAAATGGTCGTTTCTGAACGGATGGTTCTTCCAGAAGTAGCCTTTGCTGTTTTGTTGGTATCGTGCGCTTGTGTCCCCGACCTCGACAACCTCGGAAGCCGTTACAGAAGATACGTTTGCTAGGTTGATCTTCTGGTTGAAGTCGGCGAATCAAATCGGACACGGCTTGGTCACCAGTGTCCAGATCTGTACTATCGGAAGGAAAGTAAGACCCATCGTCACTCTCTGATAGAATCTGGAAAAAAGGAGAATGTTGTTTAATGAAAGGATAATAATTTTTTTTCTGTTTTCCACGATTTCGTAAGAGGCATGAAAACAATTTCTTTAAAAGTTCTAAAGAAGTTGATGTGGTACAGCGCGATGGGGTGTGTTTTCTCGGCAGTATGTTTAAATGTTGATAACCTTTCATTGCTCATGTCCCGACATTTGGTGATATCGTCACGACTCTTTTCATGACATTTGATTTTCCCTGCGAATTTCAATTGGAATATGAAACAAAGAAACTTTGAAATAGGTCTTAAGTTTTCCTTTCAGATCTCAACATAACAAGATGAGAGGTATTACAGGTATACATAGTTGTGCAGTCTTCATCGTATTTATCCATCTGTCCATCTTGTCCTAAACACAGGTTTCTAGCCTCACGGTATAACGGAGGGCAGTCGATGTTTCTTGTTCGAGTCATTTCAAGATGTGAACCTCCAATATCATAAGGTCATAATTTCTTTTCCGCTCACCTACTCGTTTAATGGAAACAGATATCGAGCTTTGGTATGTAGAGTGAAGTTGTATAACGATAAGGTGATGATCAAGTTATGATTCAGTGATGGCCAATGTATTCGTTACAGAGCAATCGCTATTTTACTTTATAAGAATCTTAATTAAAAAATTCGCAAAAACGGTCAGACCAAAATTAGAGTTCCTTGGCGACCTCAGTGGAAATTTTACAAATAGATTTTTCATAACCGCATACATCTACACATTTTTACATCATTGCAATCTTATTTCAACATTAGTCAACATTTAACAATAAAAAATTCCTAATGTCTAACTAATTGCAGGCGGCAGGGTTGGCGTCCTTCCGACACATCTAGTTGTCTCTATTTAAGAGCGTTCTTCATCGGTAAAATCTCACAGCGGATCCTGTCAATTGATAATACATTGCAGGTAAGGTGTAAAAAATATTACTGCTGTCGGCATTACCTGGTCGTAAGAAGTGACTATATTAATCTTATGTCTTCTTGCTAAACATTTTTCTCTTCCAAAAAATTCATTTTACACTGCTTCTCATCTGGCATTTAAGTTGAACATCCCCAGACCAAGACAAAAGTAAGTCCATTAGATAGCTCAGTAGTCATCTCCGATTGACATTCTGATGTCAAGGTTTTAAAGGCGAGTACTGGTTATTCGTGAGTCAATCATCTTACAGTATAATTACTAAGATATTTAGCTAAAGTCTCCGTTAACCCGTGTGAAGGGTATAGAAAAAACAATATACTACAACATCATTCATTTATCGTGAAGGTTTTATTTTCGTTGATTTCGCGTGAGTTGTTCATTCACGAATTTATATGTCCACGAAATCATACTCGGAGAGAAACTGTCATTGGCTTTAGTATCAATGCATTTTGTGAGATTTAATCACGAAATTAAGTGCTAACGGAAATGCATATCTCTGTAAAACCAGGAATTTTTGTCCAACGTAAATATGTGATTTTACAGTATAGCTTTTGTTAACCATTGCATGAAGTAAATGCCGACGGATGTATGAACTCGCTGAAAACAGGTAAAACGAGTATATACTATACCATAAAACAGATGGTAGAAGGCCAGAAAGACAAGGTTTAGGTGGGTTTTTTTTTAAAAAAAAAACCCGAAAAATAAAGGAGAGAACATGTCATCTTTGAAACTCTGTAGTGAGAAGATTCTTTCCATCAAGGAAACGTTAACGATGAACAACGGAGACCAGCTTGGATAACCAAACGTAATTAAGAAATATAAACATTCTAAGTGCGGGATTAGACAAAAGTCTACAGATAAAATAAAAAGAAATAGAAACATCGTAAGGCCTTACTCTATTAATTAAATAGCTATATTATCAAAATCCATTTTTATTGAAAGGCGTTGTTCACCTGTATGTCATTTGTAACAATCTTTTGTATAAAAATGTAGTGCGTGTAAATTGTAAATCCTCAACGTGTGTATGTATTTATTGGGAAAATACACCGGCGAGAACAGAGAAGCCCCCGTTTCCGTTAGGCTGTTAATAGATTGATTTTGGTAGCAAATGTAAACGAAATGACATAGCGATATCAGAACGGCAACCAATTTTGCTTCGGTAGAATTTGGTCTCACCGGCCCGTCGTGTTTCTTCTACTTTGTGTCTTAATCGGGGGCCTAGGTTTTAATCCCTATCAAGATACTGTCAAATCACTAATGTTCGTCGGGTATTTATTTTGCTTGATTTCGTGTGTAATCTCAAATAATGAATTTTTATGTCAACGAAATGATAACCAGTAAAGGATTAATACGATCTTTCCCAAGCTGGAAGGTAGAACAGAGAAATCTCTACCTGAAGAGATACTTGATTGTCTAAACCGAGGCTTTACCGAGGGTGACAATGTCAGAAATCTCCTCCGAGGCTAGAGATTTCTCTGTCCTGCTCTCACAGTAGGGAATGATCCTTTTTCTACCCCTTTTCCCCCTTAAAAAATAATTTATTTTGAAGGGGGAAAAGGAGTTTATTTAATTAAAGCAAATGAAGTCTGTGGAAGTTAAATGCAATTCATTCTCACAAAGAATATTTGTTTTATTTTTCGGGAAAAAAAATTGTTCGTTAGTTTAAAGATGATGTCGTTTGTTGTTATAAAGTCAATCATTGAGGAATGAAAAGGAAAAAAATTCAATACATGAAGCATGCAGCATTTGAAGTATAAACATGGTATAGTGCGTAACGACAACTCAAAATAATGGAAATGAATATGGATTTCACAAACGTGGGAACGTTTGACATGACATGTAGATTTCAACTAAAGCTGTAATTTAATTAAAGCATCAACAAAAAAAGTGGATGTTTAATCAATGATGGCAATACGATATTTTAAGTGAAAGCCAGAAAGACATCTAATAATCAATTATTTCAAATCATTTTTATCATGTTTACAAACGATGCGCAAATAGCGATTTAGAGTAATATTGAGGAATTACAGTCAGTGTCGCGTCCGTTCTGGATAACTTGGTATGACAACGACGACGTTCAAACGAATATATCCCATTTAAACACATTTAGTATCATTATTTGTGTTTGATATTGTAATTATCATATGTGTGATAACATTTCGTCGTTATAATTAACTTTTCATTTGAAAAAATCTGGAACACAGCCAAATGGTCACATTAATATAATTTGCCTTAGAATTTGTTCGTTCCGCTTGAATTAGCAAAGAGCGCTAAAACCCTTACAACTGTTTACTAATGAGCATGTTAAACGATCGAACTGGCTTTAAATACAAAGAATAGCAATATAAGGTTCTGATTCTGAATTTTGAAAATTTCCTCTCAATTGATATTTGTTCTCTGATGTTTATTTTCCAGTTGACTTGTTTGAAAGGTACAAGAAAATTAAAAATAATCATGACAATGACAGAATTACTAAGTGCGCGATCGGAACGCTTAATGCACATACTAATTCTAGCATTGCAGTGTTTCCAAAATGTCCGTTTATCTGTATATGAGAGAACAATCGATTTTAAAAGATTATTGTTTAACAAACAACGAAGCGTATTACATAGAGCAAAATTTAGGCGGGGCCTCATACCAAGGTCGGCATGCCCGGAAATGGCTTCATTCAATTCAAGGCTGTTACACCAAAATTACATGTGCTACTGTATTTAAGTATTCAAGTATTTAAGTGTTAATATCAAATATCTGTATTCATTAAGAAAGTATTTAGAGATTTGTGTTCTTTACGAAATAAGAATAATTGAAATTATTCCTGGTGACGAAATTGAAATTAAATTGTCTTGGAGACAAATAAAATCCAGAAAACATGAATTATGTTCCTTACTGGTCTCAAAAAAGGATATTTAGGAACGAAACATGAAAATTCTCCCGATACGCGATATGAAGATTTATTCAATGGCAGCGTTATGATGGAACTCTTTTCTTGGAAGATTACGGAAAAATACACCAGCACTCCCTAAACTAATATAAAACGGGAGGTAACAACCATGTGTACAAAGTCCTTACCTACTCTAAATGTAATTGTATTGTTTGACCTTTCCGGATTAATTAGATTTGTAATATAATTGTTTATGGAATGGCATATTGCCATCTCATGGATATGTCACGAAATATGCAATTTTTCTCATAACTACTTGAGTAATATTGGTCCATGCTGGTAAATGGACCTATGTTTATTGGGGATGTTTACAATACGTCTGTAAGGGGTTATTCAGCCACGGGAGCGCAATGATACGAGAAGTAGTTCCACGGTTACTAGTTACAGAAATCACTTGAGACAAATTTAGAAATACACAATTCCATAATTCAAATAACCTATTAATTTTTTGAAAAAGAAAGAAAAGTAGTCTTTATTTTGACCTTTGCGGTCACATAAAAGCTGATTTTTTACAGATTTTACTGTCAAAATGTGGAGAACAATATCACAAGACGGCAGCCATATTGCAGCGCGGTATTTCAGTTTATGACGTAACATCGTTGTCCCTATCGTGACATCGAAAACGATCTCTGATTGGCGTAGCCAATGATAAATGCTCAAGGGTATATTATATTCATGCAAAAATTATAAGGGTAAATTCACTGCATAACTGGCGGTTCAGCTCTTGTGCGCTATTTTCACTTTAATCACTTCCTTGTGTCATAATTTGCAGATGAGCACTAGATTCTATAAAACCTGAGGCTGTCAAAAAGACTCAACAACATGATCCATGACTTTAACAATCAATGCCCGTTTCTCAAGATCTCATGTTTTTTTTTCTAAATGATGAATTAAACGGATTCCTACCGTACGGAGCATAAACGTTTTATAAAACGACTCGACCAATAACCGGTGTGTCAGAAAAGTAACTGAAATAAAGAATTCTGTTTCTCATAGAGATCAATATTACATTGATGTAAGAGCTCAAATAGCATCCCATTCCGGTAAAGTATTTATTGTACTGTAACAGATCACATACGAGGTTACGTAATAAACATCTGTCACTAAGCAACAAGCATAATACAGCAAACCATATATCGGTGACCATCGTGGCTGACCTAAACCCCCACTAGTCGATTGCCTTGAACCAATTAGATTTGCATATGTAATAAAAATATATACATAGCATGCTTTCAAATAGACGAGTCAACAGAACAGATATTTCATTACTTGAGTCTTAAATCACGTATCCACGTGATTGTAAACTTCAAGAATGATCTACATTGCGTGAAACAAACAGTGTTCAAAATGTCAAAGAGGTGTTCGTAGAAATAGAAGTACGGGTGAGTGCACCAGTTATTGTAAACCAACTCCTACCATATATACGTTCATTTAATAATGATCTATCGTTCTATAATTATAAAAAGTATATTTTCTTCACTAAAATGCACTATACAAAAAGGATATACATTTTCCACGCCAATTCATTTCAAAGAACTTCGTTACGAGTCTGATGGCGACAAATTTTCTTTTACTTAAATTTACAAATACACTTACTTATTTCTAAACCCCTTACCGATCCAATCGAAGAATGTTGTATTTGTGGTAACATTTCAATGTCATTTACAAAGTATTTGTTTTACACAAAACATCCCTTTCTTTCAAGGAGAAGTGCATGCGGCCCTGTCACTGTAGACAGAAGTGTATCAAACTCCTACTTTATCTCTAAATCCTTAATTGAATGCAAACGAAGAATTTCAAATTAGGAATTCGATGTTAACTCGATGTTACAAAGTCCTGGCATGTCTCAAAGACACTTATTGACTATAACGAAAAGTACTTCTATGATGATTGTACAAAAGGCACACAAGTGAATAGAACCATTTCATAATTTAGAGTGAGATACAGAAGAGCCAAACAATGAATTAAACTTTATTATACAGCTGTTTCGTCCTTCTTGGACTCGTCAGTGATGCTAAGGGCCTACAATTTAAAGCGTAGGAGGCGACTAACAAACATCCACAGTTATCAAAAGAAAAGTAAAAATCTATGCAGTGTAACTGTACTAGCTCATTTAGTCCTGTTTGTTTTTCTTTAGAGGTTTTGCCATTTTTTGACAAATCTATTCGCTGTTTTTTTCCTTTTTTATGAAAAAGTACCGATAATGAAAAGACATTATAATTTTCTAATAATTTTTCACTATTTCTAAATTCTTTTAATGTGTAAGTGGCCTCTCCACCGGTTCAGCCGTATAAATGTTTAATTATGACATTCGAAATTACCGCTTTCTATCTAGGGAATAGTAGATATATCAGTCGGCGACATATGCCCGTTATACACATTAGGTTTTTAAAATGTAGCAATGAAACACAGACTACAATGCTAGATACTACCAGCGATAAAAAACGACAGAAATCAAACTGGGAATTTACTTTATCGCAATTTTTCTACCAGTTGACCTCTAAACAAACGACGGCTTTGAACTATACTTTGTCCATAAACTAAAGTTATATAAATATAAATATATATATATATATGCGTGTGTGTGTCTGTGTGTGTGTGTGTATAAATTTTGCAGTAATGTCATCCCAAGAACGAGTTATTTCTTAATTTTCATATGTAAAGAATATAAAAGTAAGATCGTTTTCAAACACAATAATTCCTTTTAAGTAAAATATAAAAGATTTGAGATTTTTTTCCAGAGATACGTGTTATGTGACATCGATATTTCAAAAGACAAAATCTAAACATATAAATATAATGATCTGTTGCGAGTATATTTCTACCGTACTGATAGAAAGCAACAACTCAATACATCAGAAAATTTGCGATGTAAAATTACCTGAATAGGTAACTTTCAAGAAAAGAAACAAGAGAAAATTTCCTTACCTGTTGAAGAGCTTCATCGACATCTAGAGATCTTCCTGCGTTACAGGAGAGGACAAGCATTAGAACTAGCGAAAATGTCTGGCACAACATGTTCATTGAAGAAGTTTCCATCATTAAAAACGACGAATCGTTGCAACTGATATGCTGGCTGAACTTCCAGCCGTGTTAAAACAGCTCTTTATATATCTCGTCAAAAGAGATCGCTGATATTTGGCGTCGACGCGAGACAACTGCAAGTAGAGCTTTAGTGTTGACACTCTCCGTATCCCTGTAACGTTTAAGAGTACAGCAGTGAGGAAAGACCCAACATATATAACGTATTTTTGCTTCAGTGAATCTAGATTATCAAAAATTCATACTATATAACATCGACATCACTAGCGCGCCCTTATGGACTGAACATGCGCTGTGGCTTCTCGTAGTAGGAGTAACTCCCACAGTGTGTGACGTCATTTGGACAATTCGAGAAGATCATTTTTCATTTAACGACTACCATTTGTGTGCTTTTATTTATTAATTTATTCAATTTGACCAACAGTAGCTTCTATGGTCTTTTTTATTCTTCTTATTCATATGCGTGTTATTTTTTTTATCTCCCATCCCTGTTTCACAGCGGGGGAGGACAAATATCTTATTCATGAAGTTTTTATTCAGAAATATATTAATTGTCCTTTTGTCATCAATGGTCTGCATAGCAAAATTGAAGGAAACTCATTCAGTTTTCTGTTACCGCCGATTTTAAGGCATAGATACAAAAAATATGATAAAGCATAATATTTTACTTCCTGGCCTTATCAATTCAAGGAGAGTTGAATTTTTTACCCCCAATTCATACTTTGGGCTGATTTTCTGTTATTTGAGTTATAAACTAGTTTATAACTTCTTTCACAGTTCACCTGCAAGGCTATCCTCAGGTTTTATCAACTTGCATGGGCCTTCTGAGAGTGCATTACTAACAGGCTCATTATGATGGTAGCGTATAATAGGGCAATACAGAGTAGCCCTTAAGTTTTGCCAAAGTATATAATGTAGATTTGGTTCAGTAATAAACCAAGCTATTGACATCGGACTTTGTTGTTTTGTATCAAATAAAGAATATGTGGACGTTTTCACTTGTGTAATATAAGTGACCGGTGAGTAGCAATATATCGGAACTATTAGTTTCATGGTTAACGGGGTTGTGGACATGTAGTAATTGTTGAAGGCAGGAGACTAAAAACGAACTCTAGGGTAAGGAATTAGATGATATTAAACCGCAGAAAACTATGTACAACATAATAACTAAATAATATTTTTATCTCAGAGATAATTTGGTATCAGTATAACAACACCCATTACATTTTTAATTTACTAAACACGTGTAATATGGCTTAACGAACCTGTAATTGATCGAATGTACCATATGTTTCGGGTGTGATGTCAGAGAATCATTGAGCCATGTGCATTGTGACATCATCAGAGAAAGACATAACGAGTTAGGATATTTCCGATTTAGATTTTTATCAGTCTAATGAAATGTAAAATGCGAAAGTATTTAAATTAAACGATAAATAGAATATTGCATTTGTTTCTATTTCATATACACATTTAAGGTATGAAGTAAACAAAACCCGTCGCGAATTTTTCATTTTCCATAACTCTTTTCATATATCTCCTACGAAGTAGCCGGAAAGCGAAAATTGAAACTTAGAGATAAATTTCCTCATTAACACTCACTACTCTTTATTATTTCTGATAATAAATTTAATAAATATAATTTCTAATGAAGATTGATAAATAGAATAACACATAAGCATGTAATCGACATTATTGGTTTTATCTGACCTTTATGTAAAGTGATAATTACCCTCTTTTCCATTGTTTTGGAATTTATTAACTTAATCTATCAAATTGATAAAATCAATAAAATATGTTCAGACAGTTTATTACCACCATACTTTAGATGTCCGTAAACGATATCATCGTTTCCACCAGCTCTTTTTGTCCAACATAGATATTTCTGCAGCTGTAGAGGCAGTAGTGAAGAAATCATCCTTCTCAAATTTTACATTGACTTCAATATTATCAATATTTATCCCAATTAAATTGTCCACACATTTTTTTCGAAGAAAGTCGTTTTGCTTATCTTGGAATATCATTTCAAAATGTGAAGGCAAAGCACCTAATATCTATGTGAGTGTTTTCAATATTTGGTCATTGTAATTCAATTCAGTAATTGTCTGGAATCGTTTATAAACTTAGCGTTATAACTGCCAGAAACTTGTCTGATCTAGTTCGCTTCTCATGTCAATTTCTGAAATTTGAGTAGACATATAAATATGAAACGCATTTCTTAATGCATGCGAAAAACCGTTTTACACATTTTGTGATAGAGAAACCTAATGCCATTTACTTATGGTCTGACCCTTAAGTTCCATTTTTACTCTCTTGATAGCCGTTATGCCATGTAATTTTGTTAAAATCCTTATATCAGTGTGGTTTTAAATAACTTTTATATACACGTATTATGCAATAATTAGACGAAAGCTTTCGTGTAGAGCACAATTAACTAACACAACGTGCCTCTATGTCTTCAGCGATCGTATTACCACAAGGTGTGACTTCGGAGTTCAAAACCTCATCAAGACAATTTTTGTAAAAATATAAAAGATTGCTGTTGTTCAACTTATATTTGACATATTCTTACTGAATCAAACTATGATCGTTTTGTGATACAGTACCATCACACTTGGCCTGAACGTTTAAAGAAAGTTATATTTCAAAAGGACTGCATTACGGAAGACCTTTCGTTGTTTACAAAATAACTACTAGGACCCATTCACGTCTCCAATTATAAGAACTCGTCATTTCCTTGAGTTAACTGCTACCACAGACTGGAACATTTCCGTATGCTCAATGGAAATATCAAACGGTCTGGAAGAGGCAGGCCCGTAAACTGAAAAGTATTTCAATTCTTCTTTATTTGGAGTTTGAATCTTGACACTTACTATCCTTGGACTATCAATATTTATTTCTCTAAAAACAAAGATTTGCATCTTATCGACGACATCACCTCTGATGTTGCATTTGTACCTGAAGGTGTCAATTCCCTATACAGACTTAGCGACATATAAAAATGTCATTATTAAGCACTCTAATCCAGTGTTCAGATAAGTCACATATGTTTATGACATATTTTGGAATACATTTGAGCGAATATGGAATACCTGCCATTACGCCCTCACTATTCAACACGTGACATGTACAAAACGACTTGTCTATGGAGCCATTCTCTCATAACGATTCCACTCGGTCAGAAATCACTAGATATTATTTTTGTGTCTTCTGTTCACAAATTCAGCGGGCAGTTATTTTGTTCACCATGTTCATGACATGACGTCGTTGTTAATATAATGACGCCACAATCGACTTCTAAGTGAAGCAGCCAATGAAAAACACTCTAGGTATATAACACTAATGAGATATACTCAAGATTATTGCAGGACAGAATTAACTTGATAACCTGCGGATTATTTCACAGCATATTCCAGAACAGAATGCGACACGTATACCACAAAACACATCAGTGTATTACACAAAACACACTATAATGTATTACACAAAATACAGTATGGTATATAACACAAAACACATCTGTGTATCACACAAATTATATTAACGTAGTACACAAAACACACCAATATATCATACACGCAAAGGACAGTAACGGAATAATTATAATACGTCAGTGTAATAGAAAAATTACCCTAATGTATAAAAGAAAAAAAAAATGAAAATCGGAATTTGAGAAATTAGGACTAAAATGTTAGAAAATGAATTAATAAATGAGTGAATGACTAAATAAGTAAAACATTTGATTTTGTTTCAAGAGTTAATTCTCGTTATGATTTATAATACATTATAATTGAAATATGACAGTTAGAATCGGAGATAATTCTGTTCATACAACTGAAAACCCTTAATAGTCAGACACGTTTATTTCCCTAGAGAACGCACATGTTGGAATCTAGATAGTCTAGACTAACGAAAATTTCAAAATTACACAATATCACTACCAAAGCTGTTGCCACAGACTCGAATTCCATATGCGACTAACCTAAAAAAATTGACGTGGAAACATTTAACCAAGATAAATAATCACTCATTATAAGATGATATCTGTATTCTATACTTGATTGTCATGGCGCTTTCTTTCAGGGGTAAAGTGCAAAGTAGCAAGAGATATAAAATTTCTATATCTTTAATTCACAGAGAAATATGATATCGGATAGGATGTTGCTGTGTTAGTTTGGATGAATTACAATAGGGTCAACTTTAAACAAGTGTTTCGACCCGAACTGTTTGTACAGGTGTCGACAGTCTTCTATAGTGCTGGTTTTCCGAATGGAAAATTACAATATTCGGTTATTAAAGGTTGCAACAGTGTTCATTTTGGCCAGGTTACCGAAGTGTTCGTTTTTGATAAGGTTTCGTCGGTGTTCGTTTTGGTGAGGTTTCGGCAGTTTTCGTTTTGGCGAGGTTTCGACAGTTTTCGTTTTGGCGAGGTTTCGGCAGTGTTCGTTTTGGCCAGGTAACGACAGTGTTTGTTTTGAACAAGTTACGCTATTGCTCGTTACGGCCAGGTTACGACAGTGTTTGTTTTGGACAAGTTACGACAGTGCTTGTTTTGGACAGGTTACGACAGTGTTTGTTTTGGCCAGGCTAGGAAAGTGTTCCCTTGCCCAGGTTACGACAGTGTTCGTTTTGGACAAGTTACGATAGTGTTTGTTTTGGACAGGTTATGGCAGTGATCGTTTTGGCCAGGTAACGACAGTGTTCGTTTCTGCCAGGGTACGGCAGTGTTCGTTTTGAACAAGCTACGATAGTGTTCGTTTTGGACAAGTTACGGCAGTGTTCGTTTTGGACAAGTTACGACAGTGTTTGATTTGGACAAGTTACGATAGTGTTCGTTTTGGACAAGTTACGATAGTGTTTGTTTTGGACAAGTTACGACAGTGTTTGTTTTGGGCAGGTAACGACAGTGTTCGTTTTGGCCAGGCTAGGAAAGTGTTCCCTTGCCCAGGTTACGGCAGTGTTCGTTTCTGCCAGGTTACGGCAGTTTTCGTTTTGAACAA